AGTTTTATTCAGTTGTAAGCATTTTCCTGGATCTATTATAGATTAGAATGCAAAGTTTGCTTGAATTTAAGCTAAAACAGGAAACTTGAAGATAATATTTTGGTTGTAGCAAGCTGCTTTGGGTTCGATTTCCAGATTCTTGGGGTTTTGCATTTCTTCTCACCTGATGTGGGTCGGGCACTTTTGTTCGGGTTGTTTGACAGGCACTGCTTCAGATAGGATTTATAAACTGGGATGTCCCAAAATCCAGGTAATAGAGCTTTCAAGAACCTCCACAAGGAGAACTGGAATATTTTTTAAAGGAGTCCTCTGCATTAATAGCCTGGTGTTATAAGAGATTAGTTTTCAGATTAGCATACAGCCCCATCCCCTGTATACAGGAACAATCATACAAATAAAAGCTAAACTTCTTTAGTTTTACTTACCTTGTGGCAGGCACTCTCCTGAGCCCTTAGGATGTATTGACCCATTTAATCCTCACAGCAACCTCAGGAGGTAAATTTGATTCCCGTGTTGTAGTGGGGAACTACGTAGTAAGAGGCAGAGCAGGGTTAGGATCGAAAGTCTGTGCTCATGTCACTGTGCAATTCAGCCTCTCCTGTTCCCACCTCTGGGTGAAATGTATACTGTTCACTTTGCCTAGAAGGCTCTTCTTTGCCTCACCTACCTGGAAGCTGTGCCTCCTGCTTTTCTCTCAGTGTGCAGTTTGAATGTCACTTCCTCTGAAGCCTTCCCTTGCCCCAAGCAGGCTGAGGGCTTTTCTCCTGAGGGTGCTTTCTTCTCACTGCTGTCTCATTGCTCCTTGTCTCTGTTCTCTGCTGTATGAGCCCCTAAGGGGCACAGATCGCATCCTGTTTTATCCCTATGTGTCCAGTACCTAACACAGTACTCAGCATAGTAGGCCCCTGCTGAAGTTGTCAAAGGAAAGGACAGACGTTCAAACTTGCCTTNCAAGCAGTGGCACAAGCGCAGACACTTGACCCTTTAGCTTTCCTCCTCACTGGCACTCCTCTGCTTCCATTTTTCTTCCCTTACCTCTATCCTGACCTCCTGTCCTCTTTCTTGACCCCCTTCTCTTCTGCCTTGGGGGACTGTGAAAGTTAGGAGTCGCAAGTCAGTACTCTTCAGGATCCAAGAGAATGCTGACATCTGTCTGCCATTAATTTTTTGGAAACTTGAAAGTCATGATGGCTAGAAAATGAAAGTAAAAGTGAGTGGATTCAGGGGTCCCCCTGGGCAGGGTTAAGGTGGCCTGTGATTAGTCCTCTGATTCCCCTTTGGTGGTGCCTCCTGCTTGCAGGTGGGAGTAATGTGGCTCTCCACCAGAAGTTCCTCTCACTAGAATTTACATGGAAACAGAACAAGGTTATAAATTTCAATTCAGCCCCACCAAGCAAGTACTTCTTACAATCTTTTTCTTCTGACCATTGCCCGGTAAACACAGAGGCATTGTGCTGGGGTGGACGGCACTAAAGCTTTGGAGTCAGCCAGACCTGGGTTCTTTCCCACTTACCAGTTGTATGACCTTGGGCTTGTTACTTGACCTCACTGAGCCTCTGTTTCTTCCAGTAAAGTGGAGATACTAATATCTTGCAGAATTAGAAACCAAGGGTAAAGA